AAAAAAAAAAAAAAACCATGAGCCACGAGTGCCCCGCTAGCATTACATTTATTAAAAAGTGTTTTGGGGGGGCTGGGAAGGTGGCTCAGTGGTAGAGTGCTTGTCATGCATGCATGAGGCCCTGGGTTTGATTCCTCAGTACCACATAAGCGGAAAAAGCAAGAAGTGGCACTGTGGCTTGAGTGGTAGAGCACCCGCCTTGAGCTGAACAACTCAGGGACAGCGCCCAGGCCCAGAGTTCAAGTCCCAGGACCGACCAAAAAAAAAAAATTCTTGGAGCTGAGAATATAACTTAGTGATAGAGTGTTTACCTAGCATGTGCGAAGCCCTGGGTTTAATTCCACATTACGACATTCACAGAAAAAGCCAGAAGTGGCGTTGTGGCTCAAGTGGTGGAGTGTTAGCCTTAAGCAAAAAGAACCTCAGAGACAGTGCCCAGTCCCTGAATTCAAGCCCCAGGACTGGCAAAAAAAAAAAAAAAAAAAGTTTTTGGAGCCAGGTATCAATAGCTCACACCTATGATCCTAGCTACTCAAGAGGCTGGGATCTTGAGGATTGAAGTTTGGAGCCAGTCTGGACAGGGAAGCCCATGAGACCCTCATCTCCAATTAACTACCAAAACAAACAAAAAGAAAAAATTGGAAGTAGAGCTGTGGCTCAAGTAGTAAAGCACCAGCCTTGAACAAAAAAGCTCAAGAGACAGTACCTGGGCCCTGAGTTCAAGCACCAAGACTGGCAAAAGAAAAAATTTAAGCCAACTGCAAAAAAAGAGAAAGTAAAAAGGAAAGAAAAGTAAAGGCTGGAAGTGTGGTTCAAGTTGTAGAACAACAACAAAAAAAAAAGCATATATCACCCAGTATTCTGAGCAGTCTCCCATTCATGTACTAGTCAGGTATGACCCTACTTAGTTCCTGAAATCATGTAAGATCAAGATGTCTGGTGGGGATGGTATGGGCACTTACTGCATTAAACTGTAAAATCCCAGGACACAGGTATACACTGAGATTTCCCCAAGTTGTCCCTGAGGCTCAGAGTGGTAGACCAGGTTGACAAAGGTTACACTGCAAGTGGACAGCCCAGCAGAGATCACACACATATCTTCCTACTCTGCGGAGCTGGGAGCCATCCTTAACACATTGTAAAGAGACCAACAAAGCAGGGCTGCCACTTAGTCTCAGCTTATGGCAGGGGATTGGGACCTACCTGAGCTATGGCCAGGCAGGAAGTGGTCCAGGAAGGCTGGCTTCTTCTTCCTCCGTTTACTCTCAATGCCATGGGGGTCTGAGGGAGGCAGAGGAGATGACCCCTTAACTCCCAAAGCTCCCCATCTGTGGGCTGGTATTAAAGGGGGGGTTCCCACACACACTCCCAGGGACTTAAGTGTGGAAAGGGGTCCAGGGGACAGACCAGAACTGCTCAGCTCCCCAAGGACGTCTGGCATTCCCCGTTTCCGCTTTTTGTCCACGCCATAACTGTCTGTTCGAAGATACCAGAAGCATACAAAAAAGTAATTAATCAGCTAGGCACCAGTGGCTCCTGCCTGTCATCCTAGCTACTCAGGAAGCTGAGATCTGAGGATCACGGTTCAAAGCCAGCCCAAGCAGGAAAATGTAAGACTCTTACCTCCTATAAACCATCAGAAAACCAGAAGTGGTGCTCTGGCTCAAATGGTAGAGCGCTAATCTTGAGCAAAAGAGCTCAGGGACAGAGTCCAGGCCCTGAATTCAAGCCATACAGCCAACAAAATAATGATCACTTAACCATTTATCACAGTCAGTAACTGATGGTTAATCATAGAGCCATCTAGAAAGTGGCTGAGCTTTTTTTCTCTCTCTCTCATTATGGGGCTTGAACTCTGGACCTGGGCACTGTCTCTTGAGCTTTTGAGCTCAAGGAAAGCACTTTACCACTTGAGCCACAGTACCACTTCTGGTTTTCTAGTGGTTTACTGGAGGTAAGAGTCTCATAGACTTTCCTGCTTGGGCTGGCTTTAAGCCTCGATCCTCAGATCTCAGCCTCCTGAGTACCTAGGATTACAGGCATGAGCCATTGGTGCCCGGCTGCCTTTGTTCTTTTAGTCAAGATTTTGCTATGTAGCCCAAGCTGGCCTTGGAACCAAAGACCCTCTCTCCTTCCATAACTTCAAGAGTGCTGGGATTACAGGTGGGTACCACTATACCCCAACTGCGCTTGTACCTACCCAAACGATGCAAATAAACAGATGTTGATAGTCCATATCAGATAAAACCAAATTCCCTTCCAGACACACCTGAGCACAATACTATCTCAGGACACTCGCACTTGCTTTTCAAGCTACTTAAAATACCCTCCTTCAACTCTCACTGGACCTCTAAGTCATTCTCCTTTCTTCAGCTCAGCTGTCCCCTCTACCAGTAGCTTCCCTGATTTGCACTCAGGATCAAATGACTCGAGCTGAATTTCTTCAGTGAGCCTGAGGACCTGGTCTGGGGCGGGTGGGCTGGTTGTCATGGTTACCGTGGTCCCGAGGCAGGTAGGTGAAGGGCAGAGGCTCGCTGCAGACACCATCTGTGAGCCGCTGCAGGAAGACATTGACTGTGACGGGCTCTGAGATCTCCAGGTCCTCGTAGGGAGGGGTCTTGAACACAATGGCAATCTGCCGGTGCACATCGGCTTGGGAGAAGTCGGCCCGGCCCTCCCAGGAGACCGTGCTGAACACCACAGAAATGTCCTCTGTGGGAAGACAGGGCAGTGGCTGAGGGGGGATCCTCAGCCAGCCCGAACCCCACTCAGCATCCTCCAAACAGACCCCACTGTTCCTGAGGATAAAACCACACTCTTGCCGGGCACTGGCACCTGATCTGAGAATGGAGGTTCAAAGCCAGCTCGGGCAGGAAAGTCTATGAGACGCTTATGTCCAATGAACCACCAGAAAACCACAAGTAGTGCTGTGGCTCAAAGTGGTAGAGCGCTACCCTTAAGCAAAAAGAGCTCAGGGACAGTACCCAGTCCCTAAGTTCAAGCCCTATGACCAGCAAAAAGCAAAACAAAAAACAAACCTACAGCCGGGCGCTGGTGGCTCACGCCTGTAATCCTAGCTTCTCAGGAGGCTGAGAAAGACCGTGAGATTCCTATCTCCAATAAACCACCAGAAGACCAGAAGTGGCGCTGTAGCTCAAGTGGTAGAGCACTCGCCTTGAGCAGAAGAGCTGAAGGACAGCGCCCAGGCCCAGAGTTCAAGCCCCACG